TTAATATTTCAGAAAATTTAACTGGTTTTAAAAAATTCATATCGTTGTAAAGATGATTTACCCCCTTTCTTCCTATATGCATATTTGTGAATAAAAATTTGAGAAAAGAGGAAAAAATAACTTTTTTTATCAAAAAAATTTTAAACAAAAAAATTACTCACCGATTTTTAAAAAACTGGCATACTAATTAGTAATACAATTGATTACCGTATTTAAATAAAACAAGTATTTATTAGTGTTTTAAGCATTAATTCACCTCTCTCATAATCGCCTTTACAGCGGTATAAATTTAAAAAAAAAAAAGTTATTTTTTCCTTTAAATGTGGTTTTTTCAAATTTTTATATACGAAGTATACAAATATGCATTTCAGAAGAAAGGGGTTTAATCGCCTTTACAGCGATACCAATTTTTTACAAATCGGTTAGTATTTTTTTTGTCTAAAATATTTTTTTTTATAAATAAAAAACGGTATTTTTTCCTTTAAATGTGTTTTTTTATTCTTATATACGAAGTATACAAATATGCATATCAAAAGAAAGGGGGTTTAATCGCCTTTATAACGATTTCAGCCTTTTAAAAATCGGTTAGTAATTTTTTTGTTTAAAATTTTTTTTATGAAAAAATTTATTTTTTCTTTAAATATGTTTTTTCTCAAATTTATATAAACGAAGTATACAAATATGCATTCAGAAGAAAGGGGGTTTAACCGTCTTTACAACGATAACAATTAAAAAAAAACTGTTAGTAATTTTTTTGTTTAAAATATTTTTTTTATAAAAAGGTATTTTTTCATTTAAATGTGTTTTTTCCAAAATTTATATGTACGAAGTATACAAATATGCGTATCGGAAGAAAGGGGGGTTTAATCACCTTTACAACGATAAAAATGTTCAAAATTGTTTGCAATATAAGGAATTTAATTTTTCGAAAGCCTGAACTTTGACCCCTTATAGCACCTGTAATATAAGTTTGCACAAAGTTTGCAAAGTTATATACGATTTAAATAAGAGCAAAAGGCGGACCACGTCCATATTTTTATTTTTTTAGCTGTTTACATACAATAGTTAAAAATAATTTTTTACCAAAGGTCCTATTTCGATCTTCAAAGGCCCATACCTCGATTTCGGAGGCCAACTTCGAAAAACGGAGAAATCACTGTTTTACCTATGACTCAGGCTCTTAAAAAAAATTGGTTTGGTCCAAGAAAAAAAGTTGATTTTGCCGTACAGTGTAATAGGTGCCTGGACAAACACCATTGTAAGTTGATAAAAGCGTTGTAAAATAAATATGTATGTTAATTAGAAATTTTACAGAAACTTATAGCTGCAAAAACAATTAATAGTTTTCCAAAATAGAACTAGGTATACGACTCTCTCGTTTTATCAAAATTATGCAAATCGATTCAATAGATTTTTGCATAATAATAAAATTGTATGTATTAAGTAGCATAGCTTCAATTAAGAAAGCATTTTAAATGCTTATATGTAATGTAACTCAAAATCGTATTTATGCTTGAATTTATTTAATTATCGAAATATATGAATTCCTCTGCAATAACGACGCAACTCAAAATTCAAAAAATCAAATCCCTTATTACTGTTCAGAGGCTCATGTCTCTAATCCTTGGCTTGGCTTAAAATTTCATACGTAGGTAGCTTTTTACTTAGATTAGCATATAGGATCCTTTTTTCCGCGAAGTGGACCAGAAACCGGTCTATTCGAAAAATCCGTTTTTTTTAAATTTGCTTGAATGTCTTTATAATTATTCTGTAGGTGTGTTTGTGAGTGAAATCCTCCTAAATGGTTGTACGGATTTTTTTTTGTGTGTTTGAGTTGGCCTCTGTATGGTTTAGTTTCACAATTCAATTCGCCAGTTGGCGCTGTAGTTGAGTTATTACTAAAAATCAAATTTATGATCCGATTTGGCTAATATTTTAAATATGTATTGGTAATGGTAAGAGCAATACTATTGCAAAAACGAGCTGCCAAGTGGCGCTGGAATCGAGTTATTACTAAAAAAAGCCAAGTGAGAAAAAGTGCCGTGAAGGTCAGATTAAATCGACCTGTTGCACCATTGAGTATATCGAACTCTACTGTGTTACGATTGGCGCAATGGATGTGATTTTCCATTATTATTATGCGTCCCAGCTTTTAAGGCATTTCGTGTGAAATAAGTATATGTATGTACTAGCAGACCCGGCGAACTTCGTCCCGCCCAAAATTTTTATATATTTTATTGAAACTTTTTGGTCCAAGATTTTCACCAACAATTCACGTTTACAATTTTCATATGCACATTCGTCTGCTAAGATTATGGTTTGGTGGTCATTTGCCGCTTTAAATAACCTAAGGAAAGTGTTATATCGTGAAGAAGTTCTTGAAATTCTCCAGTTGTGCGGCATTTTATAGCACGGTTATTCGCAAAGCGAAATAAATTTTTTCCTCTTCACCCACTGGCGGCAACAATGACCCGGTTCTATAGTGAATGTCCTAGAAGCTTTACAGTATAGTTGGTGGCAATTTCAAAATGGGTGCGAATCAATGTTCTACAGAAATGCAATATACATATACTTATTTCAGACGAAATACCTTAAAAGTTTGAACGCATAATAATATTGGAAAATCACATCCATTGGGAAATCGCAACGCAGGAGCGTTCGATATACCCTATGGTGCAACAGGTCGAATTAATCTGACCTTCACGGCCACTTTTCTCACTTGGCTATTTTTAGTAATAACTTGACTTCAGCACCACTTGGCAGCACGTTTTTGCAATAGTACTGCATACATATTAAAAATATTAGCCAAATCGGATCATAAATAAGATTTTTAGTAATAACTCAAATACAGCGCCAACTGTCGGATTAAATTGTGAAACTAAACCATCCAGAGACCCGCTCAAACACACAAAAAGTTTCGTTAAAATCCGTACAACCATTTAGGAGGATTTCACTCACAAACACACCTACAGAAGAATTAAAAAATACATTCAAAAATAGCTAAAGGTCGGTACGTTTGTAGGCCTCACACCCCCTTTTCAAATATCCCAAATTTTCTCCATGAGTATGGGCTTGATTTCAACTAAATACATATCTCCATACGAAGTTCCAGTACTGTACCATGCATACTTTCAGAGGTATTCAGTATAAAAATTCGATTTATATGGGAGGTGCCACGCCCCCCTTTCCAACAGCTGCCTCTTTCTTCATGAGTATGCGATTGATTTCGTATATCTCCATACCAAGTTCCAGAACTCTACCATGAACACTTCCAAAGATAGGCAGTATGAAAAGTTCGGTTTGTATGGAAGATGCCACGCCCCCTTTTTCAATAGTTCCAGTTTTTCTTCAAGAGTTGATTGCGTATATCTCCGTATCAAGTTCCAGAACTATACCACGAACGCTTCCAGAGATATGCAATATGAAAAGTTTGGTTTGTATGGAAGATGCCACGCCCCCCTTTTCCAATAGTTCCAATTTTTCTCCAAGAGTATGCGATTTATTTCGTGCATCTCCATACAAAGTTCCAGAACTCTACCAAAAAATTTCCAGAGCTATGCAATATGAAAAATTCGGTTTGTATGGGGGATTCCACACCCCTTTTTCAATAGCTTAAATTTTTCTCCAAGGGTATGCGATTGATTTCGTATATCTCCATACCAAGTTCCAGAACTCTACCATGCACACTTTCAGAGATATGTAGCATGAGAAATTCGGTTTGTATGGGAAGTGCCACGCCCCCTTTACATATAGATTTTTTTAGCCTAAAATCATCCTTGGGACACGTGCGGCAGGTGGCAGTTTCAAAAAAATCGGTTCAGCCGCTCTCGAGCCTTGCGAAAACTAAAAAACGGCTTTAAAAATATATATTAGTTAAGATTATTAAGATTTATTATATATTATAATTATATTTTGACAGTATCCGTTGTTTCTGATTGGCGCAAAAAAATCTTCGCCCCTTGATATGGTCGTTGCTCAAAGCTATTTATATTCGAAATTGCATGAAAATTGGAAAACAGGATCTATAAGCTTATCCAGGAAAAAAGCTACCTACGTACCGAATTTTAAGCAAATCGGACCGTAAATAAGATTTTTTCGAATAGATTGGTCCCTGGTTAACTTCTCGGAAAAAATGGATCATATATGCTAATATATGCTAAAAAAGCTACCTACGTACCGAATTTTAAGCAAATCGGACCGTAAATACGATTTTTTCGAATAGATCGGTCCCTGGACCACTTCCCGGAAAAAATGGATCATATATACTAATATATGCTAAAAAGCTACTTACGTACCAAATTTTAAGCAAATCGGACCGTAATTAGATTTTTTCGAATAGACCGTTCCTTGGTCCACCTACCCGAAAAAAGTAAAATTTTTTTAGCCTAAAACATGGTGGTTACTAAAAGCTATTTATGTACAAAATTTCATGAAAATCGGACCAGCCGTTCACGAGATTACCTGTTACAAAAAAAGGGACTTCTCTTTATATAATTAGTATATATATTGCATTTCTGTAGAACAATGATTCGCACCCATTTTGAAATTGCCACCAACTAAACTATAAAGCTTCTAAGACAGATTCACTATTGAACCGAGTCATTGTTGCCACCAGGGTGTGAAGAGGAAAATATTCTTCACATTTTTTATTTTTTTTGCGAATAACTGTGAAATGCTGCAGTTGGAGAATTTCAAGAACTTCTTCTCGGATATAACACTTTCTTTAGGTTATATAAAGCGGCAAATGACCACCAAACCATAATCTTAGCAGAGGAATGTGCCAATGAAAATCGTTAACGTGAATTGTTGGTGAAAATGTTGGACCAAAAAGTTCCAATAAAAAAAAAATAAAAACTTTGAGCGGGACGAAGTTCGCCGGGTCTGCTAGTCAGTAATAAAAATATAAGATACCATGCCTATTAAGTAATATATTTTTTTAAGCATAAACTAGCCTAGTAGCTACAAATATTTATCAGCGTGTTTATCATTTTACATTGTAGATTAACGCATCCAAATATCGTACAACTCTTGGAGACCTTTGAAGACAAGTCGAAAGTTTACTTGGTCATGGAATTGTAAGTAATAATTTTTTATATTAAAACATTTTATTTTTATTATACAAAACCTTACAGACAACTAAAAAGAAAAAAAATATTCAAGGTATTGGTAAGACATAAGTCTTGAGAAAGAATTGATCTTTAAAAGGCGAAGTCTGGATATATTTTTCTAGAGATGCCGTGTAGCTCGTTAAGTTCTCTTGTAATAAGAGCAAAATTTTAAATCACAGCACAGTGGTCTTTGAGGAATGTTAAAGCTTATCTGCTCAAGAAGGTCAGGACAATTGACGAGACCATAGACAATGTCGCAGATAAATGAATAAATAGTTTAAAATTGGTGAATATATTTTATAATTTATGTACTTTTTGTACAAAGTTTGAAATGCATTTATATGCAGTTTGTCATATGTAGAATGAGCTGGACTTTAAAAATTTCAAATATTAAATAAACAAAAGAAATGGTATAGACAAAACTGGCCAAAATAAGGCGTTTCTTATATTTCAGCCACTAGCATAATGAACATCTTTCAACCACAAAATTCATTTTTTGACTTTTTTTGCATCGTCGGTGCCCGTAGAAAGTGTTTTTTTTTTTTGAAATTTCAAGACCCTACCTCCTAATTTTATTCGTTTTTATGAGAAATATTATTGCCTCCCCCCGTGGGGGGAAATATGCATAAAAATTTGGCCAACAAATATTTTAAGATCTCAAATATTTAAGATCTCTTTTCAGAGATAGTAGTTGAGATATATAGGTTTAATTTAAGCCAGAAAGGTTCTTTCACCTTTTGTTTCTTTGCGAGAGCTTCTAAAATATTGCAAAAACTGCGATTTTTTGACACTTTGACCTCGTTTTTTTTTTCAAAATCTGGAGCTGATGGAAAATGCAAATGCTGATGCAAAAAAAACCTATCAAAAACAGCTTTAACATTTTCCGTACAAAAATGTGTTTATATTTTTGTTGGGCTGTGCTATCCATTAAAAAAATGGGCAAAAATTCAGATTTCCGTTTTTTCTACAGAAATGTGTCCTTATGTGGTCTATAACACCCTTCGCTTCCCTATTTATTTATAGTTTTGCAAAATAATTCAATTAATATCATCATGCATGTGCAGTAGACTGCGCCTTATTTTGCACCTTTGTTCTACAAAGCAAGACTCTCCCCAAAAAAGTGTAATTTGGTCATAAAAACATGACCTGCCAAAAATTTTTAAGCGGATAACGGAATTTTTCACAACGCGGTCAATATTTTGCCTATACATCAGTGGAATGTTAATATATTTTAATGGCACTTTATGGAGTTTTACCCCCGATGTCAAAAATAGCTAAACCTCCCCATCCTTTTAAGTTATTGAGGTTTTTTTGGGGAAAAGCCGTCAGGCCTTTCGAAAAATTCAATATGGCATCTAGACAAACCGTAAATTGGATTTTGCTTTACAAATTTTGTGCCACCGGAGAACCCAACACTAAAAGAGAAAAGTTCCCTATAACTTCCGCATTTGAATATGCCAGGGGTGGGCAAGGCCGAGGCCAAAAAGAGCTACATACAAATTCTAAATGCTACAAAGAGCAACAAAAAAAAACAACAAAAACAAACATTGTATTTTTAAGTAAAATTATTATTATAAATGAAAAACATTAATTTTATTATTATTCTAATGTACGTAAGATATGTAGATATTAAAGAAAATTCAAAGACCCCTCTGGCCAAATTCTCAAAATCTGGTTTTACGTCAGTTAAAGCCGTTCGTAACAGTTCTGTTAAATGTTGGCTAGTCAATTGCGAACGGTATTTTGACTTTACGAATTTCAATGTAAAGTACAAAACTCGCAGTTATACGTTGTACCAAAAATTTAAAATATACGGCACGCAGCTGCTTCCAACAGCGGATATTTTAAATTGCTACTTTTGCCGGAATTCAAACAATGGTAAAGCTTTATGTTGCATTTCCAGTGTCTTATCTTCTTTTAATTCCAAAAACTCCAATTCTTCTTCGATTTTCTTCAAAAGGAGTATTTCGGATATTTTAAATTCATCCTCAATTATGTTACATAAAAAGGGGTTTATGAAGTATGCAAACGTATATTTAAATAATTTCAAAGCGGCAAATCTTTTTTCAAAATCTGCTTTTGACTCATGTAGTTTTGCGACATATGGGTCCAATTTATCCTCTTTGACATATGCAATATTTTTTTCTAGCCATGGAAGATGGTGAAATATTCCTTTTTTGAGATCATGTACAAAAAGACGTAGTTTAGCTTCAAAACTTAAAATAATTTGCGACAAATCCAAAACATGTTTATCTTTTCCTTGCAGAGACAAATTCAAGTTTTGCAAATGTTCCATCATATCGGTTAAGAACAATAAGTCAGAAAGCCAATTTTCATTCTCCAATTAAGGGTAATGTTCCGATCTCAATTTGCGTATGTGTATATAAAAATAATAAAATAAAATAAACAACACAATAGAAAAGAATGTCCAGCAAAGAAATATGTATTTTAAAAAGTAAAAAGAGCCAAAATGTTCTAACCAAAGAGAAAGTATAAAGAGCCACACTTTAGTAAGTAAAGGGCATTTGCCTCAAAGAGCCGCGTTTGCCCACCGTTGGAATATGCTATGCATTTTTATCAAAAATTGTTGAAAAATTACGAAAACCATGACAATGCAAAATATTTTTTTTTACTTTTATTTCAACATATTTTGATTAAAAGGAAAATACTGATAAAAATAAAATATTTCACACAAACAACAGAAAATATAATCGATAATCGCATGAGGCTATTGCCTGAAAATTTTAAAATGCACTTAGTGGCATTGTGCTACTATTATAGCACGGCCCAGTAATCATAGTCAACTTATGTACAGTAGACTGCACTCCCCATACAAAAAACCATCGGTACTGTTTTTCAACTGGAATTATAAAATCTATTATATTTTAAGACTTCCACCAAGATATCTCGCAAAAATATTAAGATTTACGTGAGCTGGACCGATTTGAAAATACCTCAAAAAATTTACTAAACAGTTTAAGCTCAAAAAGTTTGCATAAAAATATTTAACAAAAAATTTCTACGGCATCATAATGAGATTTTTGATGCTGTTTTTGAACTTTTTAAACATGAATAACTCAGCCAAACCCTTACCAATTTAGACTTATGAGGTATCATGGGTAAGATATTTTCTCACCCTTTTAATTTCTTTGCGAATAAGCTCTTTCAAAGTATGAAAGAGGAAGGTAAGATATTTGATAAGGAAAAATTTGGGACCTGAATGAGTTTTCCACTGATACCTCATAATTCTATATCGGTAAAGTTTTGGAGCAGTTATTCAAGTTTTTCTTACACAAATCTTTGAAAAAAGTTAAAATACAGCATCAAAAATCTCATTAATATGAGTCCGTTGATACATTTTTTTAATATTTTTATGTAGATTTTTTAAGCTTAAACTGGTTTGTCATCTGAGGGGATTTTTTCCAAAAAATCCTTTAAGAAACTATTTTTATTCATTAAAAACTCCATTTTTAGAGGTATTTTCAAACCGGCCCAGCTCACGTAAATCTTAATGTTTTTCCGAAATATTTTGGCAGAAGTCTTAAAATATACTAGGTTTGGTAATCCCACCGGAAAACCCGCAACTTTTTTGGGTAATGCAGTCTAATGCACAGAAGTCTCCTTCATACCCAAGGCGGGCAGGTCCTCTCATGCCAACCCTTAGGACTTCCGACCCATCAGTCTTACGTCTTTCCTTCTCAAAATTTTAGAGTGGATAGTGGATGATTATGTACGGGGCGTGATACCAACAAGTAGGCTCTCCCCAGCGTAGCATGGCTTTACGAAAGGAAAATCCACGAAGGGCGCCTTGCACTCGCTCGTCGGGTTGGTGGAAAAAAGTTTATTAGATAAAGAGTATGCTCTGGTTGCCTTTGCAGATATAGAAAGCGCATTCAACAATAGAAGAGCTTGGAGTTGACCAGAATGTAGCGGTGCTGATTGAGTCTATACTTGTCAGCAGGACGACAACCGCTAAGCTAGGAAACACCACAATAAGCAGAATGGTCTGTAGAGGCACTCCCCAGGGAAGGGTTCTCTCCCCTCTTCTCTGGAATTTGGCGGCGAACTCTCTGCTGGTGGCTCAAGAGAGGGGGGGTTGCCACGTCACAGCATACGCTGACGACCTGGAAATTGCCGTTAAAGGCAAATACCCAAAAACCCTAATGGAGATTCTGCGCTCTAACATGGCCACGCTTAGAAACTAGACAGAGAGTAGGGGACTCGGAATAAACCCCGAGGAAGCCGAAGCAATTACCTTTACAAGAAAACACAGGCTTCCCATAGTCTTGCCGCTAATCTTTATGGGTGCGGAGATATCCTTGAAGGAGAATGTTAAGTAACTAGGACTCATATTAGACAGGAAACTTACGTGGAAACCTAATATAGAGGAAAGAGTAAGGAAGGCCAAGGTTGCATTATACACTTGCAAACAAGCGGTCGGAATTAAGTGGGGGTTAACACCTCGTATTACACATTTGCTGTACACCTAAATGGTCAGGCCAATACTCTTATATGGAATACTTGTATGGTGGCCAGCAACTAAAAAGGCAAGTTACCTGAAACTATTGAGTAAGGTCCAAAGAACAGCGTTTCTATGCATTTCAGGTGCCTTAAGGATCACCCCAAATAAGGCGCTGGAGGTGATAACCAATTTGCCCGCAATAAACCTGGTAGGAAAATACGCGGCCGCCGATTCAGCCCTCAGACTAAAAAGTATGGTGCTATGGAAGGATCGGCGGTTTGGTCACGCTTCCATACTTCACACTCTGGGTAGTTACAACCAAGAAGTTGACTACTCCGCTCCCAAACCAATCTTCGATAGGCTCGTTGGGACGAGCATCCCGTCAAGAAGAGAATGGCAAACACCAAGACCATGGAGACGGGGGGGAATTGAATTTTTACACAGATGATTCCAAGCTACACAATAGGGTTGGCTACGGAGTTTTCTCTAAGGAACTAGGACTGGA